CCTGTTTCAGATAGATGCTGAAAAACTAGTCCATGCATTCGTTACCTCTAGACTAGATTACTGTAATTCCTTATTATCAGGATGCCCCAGGAAATCGGTAAAAAGTCTCCAGTTGGTCCAAAATGCAGCAGCACAGGTGCTGACAGGAACTAGAAGGAGAGATCATATTACTCCTGTCTTAGTTTCTCTACATTTGCTCCCTGTAAATTTCAAATTCCTGCTCCTCACATTTAAAGCCTTCAACAATCAAGCCCCTTCATATATCAAAGACCTGATAACACCATTTTATTCAAATAGATCACTTCATTCACAAAACACAGGCTCTCTTGTGGTTCCAAGAGTCTGTAAGATTAGAACAGGAGGTAGAGCATTCAGCTACCAGGCTCCTCTCCTGTGGAACCAATTCCCACTCTGGGTTCGGGAGGCAGACACCATCTCTACATTTAAAGTTAAACTTAGAATGTTCCTTTTTGATAAAGCCTATAGTTAGTTCTGGATCAGGTGAGTCCTGAACCATCACTTAGTTATGCTGCTATAGTTCTAGACTGCTGGGAAAACTCCCATCATGCACTGAGCACCTGTCCACTCTCTGTCTCTCTGCCCCCCCACATTCATTAATTTATGTCAGTGACTATTTCACTTTGTCCTCCCATAGTCTCTCTCTCTCTTTTTCTCTCTCATTTCAGATATCTCTGACCCCAGAACCTCAGGACAACAACTTTACCATTATTACTATTAGTAATTACAATATCTCAGTAATTATTTATGATATGAATTGTGCATGTTATCAATAATAATGAATAGTCTTTACACTGTTGTTTACATTTTAACTAGTCAGATCTGATACCTGATGGCGCTCAAGTGTTCCCCCCTCTCCCCTACATCCCCCTCCCCACTATCCCTCTCTCTCTTCTCCCCTCTTTTCCACCCATCTCTCCTCTCCTTCCCCCGTTTTCTTTGCTCACCCCAACCGGTCGAGGCAGATGACCGCCTACATTGAGCCTGGTTCTGCTGGATGTTTCTCCCTGTTAATGAGGGAGTTTTTCCTCTCCACAGTCGCCAAAGTGCTTGCTCATTGTGGGAACTGTTGGGTTTCTCTATATTTAATGATGTTAAGGTCCTGACCTTCTATGTAAAGTGCCTTGAGATAACGTAAATTATGATTTGGTGTTATACAAATAAAATTGAATTGAATTGAAATATGTCAAAACTAACTCAATGTCATTGCGCCCAAGCCCAAGCCTGAACAGCTTCATGTGTGAATATTAACTCACGGTCATAGCTTCACCTACTGAACAGTAGGAACTTGTAGTTGCTTTTAAGACCACTGTGAATTGTCCAATCAGCACAACATTTTCTAAGACTAAAACTAAAACTAGCAATAAAAAAATAATTTAGTTAACTGAAATAAAAATAAAAACGGCAATTACAAAAAAAAAAGAAAAACGAAATAAAAACTACAATGAACAATGCAAAACTAACTAAAACTAAATTAAATTAAACTAAACTAAATTCAGCTTCGTTTTCTCCCTCGATTACTGCCTGTCCTGCAGGTGATGGTTAAAGAATGAAATTAAAGGAACCATATTTGGTGTCACAAATTGTTTCATCCTTTTTCAGCTTCTACAAGTCAAGGCTTTCTCTAAATACCTGGAAAAACTCAAACTAAATAAAAACTAAACTGAAACTAGTCGATTCCTCAAAATAAAAACTAAACTTAAACTACAAAATCACTTATTGAACTAACTAAAACTAAACTGAAATAAAAAAAACTAACTGAAAAACTAAATAAAAATAAAAACTAATGAACATTTCAAAACTATAATAACCTTGCACTGCGCATTGTCCAATTGGCCCCAAAATTTAAACCAATGATCAAAGTCCCGGCCTCAACAGCAACATGTGTCAAAAGTAACACATGGTCATAGCGCCAACCAGTGATTCACTGTGAAACAGGACTTTGTTTTCAACACTATTGTGCATTGTCCAGTGGGCTCTAATTCTCTAACTATCTGACCTTTTCTAAGAATAAAGAACTGAAGCTTCTTTGATTCCACAGTGGTTCCAAACCTTGTCCCCAGTGGAGAGATTAGTTTCCCTTCTGAATTTCTCTTCCCAGAAAGCCTTTGTGCTACTTAGTCCGGTGGATCAGTGATCAGGGATCAGTGAGCAGTGAGCGCACCCCTGGTTCTCAGACATCAGCCTCTCACTTCTCTTTTGCTGGGGAAGCTGAATTCAGAGTCCCAGACTTTGTGCGCCGGTTTAACCTTTCAGCCCTGAGATTCAGAGTGTCCTCTCAAATGAGTGATCCTGCTGTCAAAGCCAAAATTGTGGTGCAATTTCTATGACTCAAGCACAAAATCAAACACTTCTTTCCGCAAGTTTAATTCAGCATCTGCAGATGGACTCACAGTACACATCATCTGAATAACATGTACAAATGAGCCAAGAACAGAGGAGAATCCGTGTACTTAACTCACAGCCCCCTCCCATTGGGTGTGTAAAGGTATTTATTATCCTCCTGGTGTCTCAATCACATCAACAACTGACAACATTTCCATTAGTGTTTAGTTTAAATAGGTAATGATGTCTGATCTACTGAGTAGGCCACATGGCCAGTCAGATTTAACTTTAGCCTCAGCATATCCTCAAGCTCGGCCTGTATCATTGGAAGATGGTGTTTTATGATTAAAAGGTCAAAACACCTGATGAACCTAAGATGCACAACTGAAGTTATGTCCCTAACATTCACTGGTGGCCACTAACACCTACTATCATCAACCTAAATTTTGTAGACAACCTTCCAACGTACAAGGGATATTCAACATCTTGTTCTAACCTCAAAAAAATTGAAGGAAGCATATGATCTGAACTATGGGCTATCCCTAACCCCCAAAAACTGTGGTAGGTTTTTCATACGTAACAACGTATATCGCAGTTATCTACTTCATACAACTGTAACAGTGATTATTTGAGACATTTTAAGCAGCAGTGGGGGCAGCCCCCTCCCCCATAAATAAATACAATCAATAAAGTTTGGTTATTTTTATTATTTTGAATCAAAAACATGCCTCCATACTGCTTGTGTTTGTCATCCAAGTGACTGCAAGCACCGACATTCATATTTGTCTTGAAACGGCATCATTTGCATGTTACATGTTTTTAGACATAATGTCCACTGATATCCTCCTCTAAGGCACATTCACCTTGTCACGGACATACCTGAAAACCGCACACTCTCACCCAAGTTTTTCAGTAATATCTGGAAATGAGTGATAAAGTTTGTTAAAAAACAAAAACACAATCTGAGGAAAACACTTAAAACATTAATGGCTAAAGATAAACACAGTGATTGTTCACACTGAGAGCATAACCAACAGACAAAATAGGATTGTACCGTACAATAATATTTTGTTATTGTTCTACAAATGTAAAAAATTATAAAGCTTACAACCTGTAATCAATGTCATTATCATATAGCCAACAAATGTCAATCATCTTTTTTTGTACTTTTTCCTGGCTTATTGAGGCAAATTTGTGTCCCATCTGCACACACCATGACTACTACATACTGTATTCATTTCTTGAGTTCTGAAGAAGCTTCTTAGATGAGAGGTGAAACATCTTGAAGAAACATGTCCAGTTGTCTCCGTACACTTGTACATCTTCTGAAGGACATGGGTGTTTCAAGTATATGTCGCCAGGGCTGTCAATCTCTAGGCACCTCAGAATTTGATTATCAAATCATTATTGATGCATCTCAATATGTGAAATAATTGTATTTCTATACATCATACATTTTTGTATTACTGTTTGACTTCTAAAAGTGTGCTTATTCACCAGCCTCATGATTTGTGCATTTAAAAGATATTTTACTGTTACTGTTATGACAAATTTACTGTACAAAATAAGGTTTTCAATTAAAAAAAATCACACAACAGTCAGTCTATAACAGTGATAAGTGCTCTCCACATTGATTTGACATACAGTACATTCAGTTTAGATTTGTGTGCTGCCTTTATTGTATCAGTGTAAACATGCCAGGCCCCTGATAACCACATGCATTTAGTTATTAATCTATTGTTTTGGATCATGAATCCAGATTGTTTAGGTCACTGATGGGCTAGGGTTACCTAATGCTATGCTTCTGCTGTGTGTAGCAGATGAACTACCTTCACATTGCATAATACATGCCTCAAACTCTGAAGCTAATCAACAAACACAAAGTAACCATCAATACTGTTCACATCCTAATAACTTCTGATTAGTGTATGTTTATTGTTTAAGTGAATGCAGGTAGTTCTCCCTCCACTCTCCCAGTGACCTGAGCTCACTTTAACAACAGGAAACTCTGACTCGGTAAAAGACGACCAGACCTTTAAGCCTAGTTTATGCTTCTGTGTCACGTCGACGCCGTTGGTGATGCAGTCGTTGAGCATTCGAAGTTCTGCGTCGAGGGAATGCGTTGCTCTGCAATTCACCGCCATGCCGCTAGGGGGTGTATCTGTGTGTTTGTGTGGTTATAGCCGAATCCTTGCTTTTTCTTCCGTAAAGTAAACAACAGTAAACAATGGCGACCGAGGTGGAGCAGCTGTATTTGTTGTTGGAGCTCATCAATATTGAAGAACAMATGCTTATATTGCAAATGTTGGAGCGCGGGCGACAGAGAAGACGTTTGCGGAGGTGGTTTTTACGACGAGGAAGAAAGACTGGAAAAGCAACAGCCGGAACTTACATTCTGAGCGGACCAATCACAGCGCTTGCAGTCCACGTCAACGCGACGCGTAGTTAGGATTTTTTGGAGGCGCGCGTCAGGCTACGGCGTAGGGGTCCGCGTCGACAGCGTAGCTGATCCTGATCCCGAAAAAACGGTGGTTATATTTATGCAGCGGTGGGACATTGTATGAAAATTAGGGTATCCCTTTAATTTTCTGCAGTGAAATAACTTGAAATAGTGGGGGTAATCCTGAACAAAGGGGGTGTGAAAGTTGTCCATCACCTCTTAAGGATTATTTTTAAATAATATTTCATAGGAGCAAGTTATGAACACTATCATGAAAATTTTGCTTATTTTCCCTTTCATTTTCCTAAAATAGTAACAGACTTCAAGGATTCAAGGGTTATTGTCATAACCATCACATGTACAACATACAGTGGAAACGAAATTGCAATGTCACATCCTGGTAAGTCCGAACATATATACAAGTTAAAATCACGGATAAAGTGCTTGGATGTGACTAAAAAAACTTTACAATAAACCAACAAGACTAATCTAAACTACAAAACTATAATTAAGGGTTGGGTGACATGAGTGAGGCATGATGATTTAAAAGACATGGGAAGCATGCAATTTAAAGTGACGTGAGTTTTGAGGTAGAGTCTTGAGATAGTGCGGGGGCAAACAGTGTGTGTGCGGGGTGGGTGGGGACTTTCATGATGCAGGAGGCCCTTTTCCTGCATCTAGAAGTGTAGATGACTGTGGTGGTGGGAAGGATGCTGCCCACAGTACTCTGTGCAGAGCAGCTGCCGTGCCACACGGTGATGCAGGAGCACAGGATGCTTTCCACCACATATCTGTCGAAGGTGTTGAGGAATGACCTCCCCAGTCCAGCGCGCCTCGGCCTTTTGAGGAAGTAGAGGTGCTGGTGTGCCTTCCTGACTAGGCTGGAAGTGTTGTTGCTCCAGGTGAGGTCATCCATTAGGTGCACGTGTTACCGGCGCCAGACCTAGGAGAAATCTGGACCAGCAGCAAGGGTTACCCAGGCAAGGGAGCACTGTGTAACAGATAAATACACATTTACTTCCTGTAGATTTGAAGAAGGGAGAAGCCCAGATGTTAGCATCTTGCTCAGGCTGAACTCATTTATCATCATTAGGACCAATACACATCAGTCACTTCATTTTTCAATTGAGTTTCACTCATGTTAAAATTCTTGCTGTTCAAATTATATTAAAAATATTGCAACAATGACACGTCATATACAGAAAAACTAACTAATAAAACTGAAACACACAGTCACTTAACATACATTCCTACACTTATTATATTAATTTGATACACACATAGCACATCACACAAACTAATCCCCTTACTCTTAACACTTCCTCAAATTACACATAAACATTTGACACTCTTGTAAACACACTGAAACACATCAGCAGAATTTACTAATCGTCGGGTGACCAGGCTGTGACTGGGATGGTAAAGCTAATTTGCATATGAATGAACACGTGAACATTCGCCAAACGCTGGCTTTTAATACTTTTAACCAATTTAAAAACAGGTTTGGTTAGGTCACAGACCCATAATATCATTCACACGGACTCATTACACCGGTGGCTGAAACCACAGTTCGTGAACTGGGCGTGCACCCGCCATGACGAAGTGCGTCAGGACGGCGAGTCACTAAACTATACTTTTTCATACTTTTACCACACTTCTCAAAATCATCGACACTCACAAAACACCCGACGTAATGTTTAGTTAATTCGGAACAAAGATGAAATTGTAAAACTGAGTTCTACATTACCTGTAGATTTGAAGAAGGGAGGTGACCAGATCTTAGCATCTTGCTCAGGCTGAACTAATTTGTGAGCTGCGCATGCGCCAAGCTTTTCATCACGTATCCCGTGTGAATCCACAGTATAGTACAAACAGCACCACCTACTGACGTGGAGTAAGACTTTACTATTAAAACTGCTAGGATAGCTCAGTTGCTTTTCAAAAAATTAGGGGGGTGTCTGTTTACAATTAAAACTCAATGTATAGCTTTTCTATCCTATTATACACGCCCAGGTACCTGAAGCTGGAGACCATGTCCACTGCTGTTCCTCCAATGTGCAGGGGAGGCAGGGAGGGATGTCTGCCCGTCCTGAAGTCCACAATAATCTCCTTCGTCTTTTTTTACGTTGATACAGAGGTTGTTTTCCCTGCACCAACCCTCCAGTCCCACTTCTCAGAAATTCTACAGTAAAATCTGCTAAAGCTTGAAATACAGACAGTGGGGGTACCAATGAAAAGGGTTGAGTAAAAATATCTGCTCTTGTGAATATTTTTTAATAAATATATTGGCAAGTTATGAGTCCTGTAATGAAAACGTATCAACATTTTCCATTAATTTTCTCAGAAATTCTACAGTGAATTCTTCAAAACTTATAAACAGATAGTGGTGATCACCCTGAACAGGTGTGGGTTGAAATATCTGTTACCTTGCAATAGTTTTTAAAAAAATATATTAGCAAGTCATAGTGAAAAAAAACCCCCAAATCTGCCGTTCATTTTCTCCAAAATTTTTACAGTAACGTTTCTGAAACTTGACATACAGACTGTGGGGGTCATCCTGAACATGTGTGAGTTGAAATATCTGCGTCACCCCTCAAGAGTGTTTTCATAATTTTATATGATGATAATAAGTGCTATAATAAAAGATTTTCAATCTGACATCAATTTTCCCTGAAATTTGACAGCAACATCTACTGAAATTGTACATACAAACAGAGTGTGAGTCACGCTGAACATGCATGAGTTGAAATATCTGTGTCACCTCAGAAGGATGTTTTCATAACAATATATAAGCTAGTTATGAACGCTATAGTCATAACTAGCTTATATATTGTCTACATGCACTCTGTGTCTTCTTTGCCTTACTTTATGAATACAGTGTTTCCTTAGAGTCAAATAAAATAAATATAAGAAAAATATAAATGTGTAAAATAGAGCTTGCATCCCATAAAAGTAAGAGAAATTGATAGCGCTCGGGCCCTATTGAAATTGTAATGTTTATTATTATTATAATCATTATTATTAGGGCCCGAACACTGATAGTGCGAAGGCCCTATTGAAATTGTAGTGTTTATTAATATTATTTTTCAGGCAAGTGATTTGCTATTTTGAGGGCTTAAATATACTCAAAAACTCATGAAATTTTGCAGGCTATTCAAAAGTGGTATAAATGTAAGTATTCTGGAGTAATTTGAAATGAAAGTGACAAAATGAGTGAACAGTGCCACCTAGAATGCACTAGAACGCAGCCCCTGAGTTGGCTTTCACCGATGTACACGAAAATCAGTACAGAAGTGCATCAAGACCAGACAAATCTCGTTCTTAACATATCCATATGTTAATATTGACTCATTGTGACAGCGCGACCTGCTGGCGTCAGGAAGTGACAAGTTTTATTCTTTGATGCATTGCTGCTCACTGCTTTACAATATACAGCTCGAATGAGCTCAGACACGCTCTAAGAACATGGGCAGAATTGTGACATTTCTTCAAACCATGTAAACATTGAGGTGCGGTGAAGGTTGATCCTTTTTCCAAAGGAGACAAAGTTGTTATAACTCCACTGTGCATTTTCCAATCGGCACCAAAAGTTAAACCAATGATCACAGCCCAAGCCTGAACAGCTTCATGTGTGAATATTAACTCACGGTCATAGCTTCACCTACTGAACAGCACAAACATTAAGTGGTATTTAACTCTACTGTTGGTTGTCCAGTTGGCACCGAAATTAAGATCTATGGTCACAGTCCCAGCCTGAACAGCTCCTTATGTCAATATTAACTCAGGGTCATAACGCCACCTGCTGATCAGTAGGTAAATGTAGTTGTTTTTTTAACACCACTGTGCATTGGCCAATTGGAACCGAAATTAAAACCTATGACCAGAGACGTGGCCTGAACAGCTCCATGTGTCAAAAGTAGGTCAGGCTCAAAGTGCAACCTACTGAGGGTGAAAATGAAGTTGTCATAACTCCACTGTGCATTTTTCAATTGGCACCAAAATTTAAACCAATTGTCACAGTCCCAGCCTGGACAGCTCCAAGTGTCAAAACTAATACAGGGTCATGGCGCCCCCTACTGATAAGTGGGAAAATTTAGTTGTTTTTAACTCCACTCTGCATTGTCCAATCAATACCACAATTTGAACCACTGACCACAGTCCTGGCCTGGACAGTTCCAAGTATTAAAACTATTACAGGCGCCACCTACTGAACAGCGTTGAGATTAAGTATTTTACTCTACTGTTGATTGTCCAATCGGCACCGAAATTAAAACCTATGATGAGGTACTGACATGCTGACGTATTGCGGTGAGCATATTGGGTCACTTCCAGTGATGGCTGGTGTTTGTGTATCGATTTCTTCTCTTCTAGGTCTCTTCCAATTCTGCTACTATCTGACTCACTGAAGCTGATATGGAATCACATTCTCACGCTAATTCACAGTGATCTACACACTACTCTTGTCTGGTGTTAGTTTAGCAACTTAGCTTTAGCAGGTAACGATGGCTTCTCTCTGTCACTTCCCAGCTCTCTCCTGCTCATTGTGCTTGATATTTACTTGCTCCTCTGCCTCCTTTAGCAATAACGGTATGTGTATTAAATGTAGCTTATTCGCAAGGATGGAGGTGAGGATTAGCTATTTTAAATCGCGGCTCTGCACCATGGAAAGTAAATCTTTAGCTGATGTAGTTAGCCAGTACCCGGTGTGAGCCAAGCAGCTTTAGCTTCTCCAAAGTACAGTAAGATTATTTTTCACGTTGGCAGTGATGACCTCTGACTATCAGTCTGAGTCTCAAAAATCAATATTGATTCGATGTGTAGCTAGGACAATGTCAGACACCGAAATTTTCTCTGGGCCCATCTAATGTTACCAGTGATGACACGTATAGCTGCATGTCACCTTTTCACCGCTGGCGAGGTGGTGTCCAAATAACAATGTGAGCTTCGTAGATAATTGTCGAACTTCTGAGGAGAGATTGTATTCATCACACTTACGATGGAGCTGCTCTCATATCTAGAAATATGACAATGTTTGTTTGACAGTCCATACCATGACAATCCAGAGTTGAGACCAGGAGGCAGAGTCTTACACGCTTTTCTGCATTTCTATTTGAGCAGTCATCCTCACATTTTACCTTTACAATATCTTATAGAAACTGTGTCTACCCCCCGACCACCTAAATTCATTAAATCAAAAGTAAACAGGAGAGGAGTAATACATTCAAACCCAATACAAGTTAACACAACAAATATATGAGTAACAAAAAACAGAAGAAAAAAATGTGGTTTATTAAATATCAGGTCACTCAATCCAAAATCCTTACTTAATAATGTCCTAATTACTGATCATCAAATTGATCTACTATGTCTAACCAAAACCTGGCTGCAAAGTGGTGAATATGTAGGTTTAAATGAAGCGACGCCCCCTACTCATACTAATACTCACATTCCTTGAAGCACAGGCAGGGGTGTAGGTGTAGCAGCTTTGTACTCCTCCGTTGCGTTGTGTATTTCACTGAAGAAGACCGTCACTTTTGGCAAACATGCCTTTTATTCTTAACATCTGGCAGAAGGATCAACACACAGTTAGTCCGGGTTTCCTCACACACACACACACACACACAATATACCCACCAGGGAGACAGCAAGGTCCGAATGCTCTAATATTAAAATGAACCTAACAGATCTAACAGTGTAATGTACCCGGCAGAAGGATCGACACACAGTTAGTCCGAGTTTCCTCACACACACACACAATATACCCATCTGAAAAATGTAAAATGGAAAGAAAGTGCAGGTTAGCTAACACGTGCCACACTAGCCATTTTATAACCAAAGAAAACAAAACAAGGATGTGCTCAACTGTTTAGGAGCTATATGTTTATGCAATGCAACTTAAACCATGTTTTAGTATTAAGTTACAGTAATTAATATCAAACATTAGCGGAGCTCATACTCCTGCACCTACCAGGGAGACAGCAAGGTCCGACTGCTGCTATCTCCAGGGGTGCACGACCCTAATCTACAGGGGTGCTGCATTTAAGTACCCCAGGATATTTAAGTGTCAGTCTTGTGAGATGAGTTTGTATGGCAAGTGGAATCACACTACACCTTAACTCCGTTACATAGGGGTTGCAGCAATCTCTAAATCTGACTTATCTATCAACCCTCACCCGAAAGATAGTTATAACTCATTTGAAACTCTTATAATCAGCCTCATCCATCCAAGCCTGAAATCACATAAACCAATTAATCTAGTTATCATATATCATCCGCCTGCCCCTTACTCTGAATTTTTAGCGGAATTCTCTGAACTTCTATCAGAGCTAGTTCTTAGGTAAGATAAAATCATTATAGTAGGTGATTTCAACATTCATGTAGATGTTGCAAGCGACAGCCTTAGTTCAGCATTCCACTCAATAATAGACTCGATTGGTTTCACTCAACATGAAAATAAACCCACTCACTATTTAAATCACACTCTTGACCTTGTTCTGACATAGGGATGTAACGGTATGGGATTTTACAGTACAGTACGGTGACAGTGTTAGTACAGTATACCACGGTATTTCACGGTAACAGTATTTTCTTTTTTTAAAGATTTTTTTTGGTACTAAGGGCCATGAAATAACCAACAAAACAGACAAGTATCATTCTTAGAAGAAAAACATTGCTTTATTTAAGCAAAATGTGTGTGTGTGTGTCTGTCTGTAAACCACCATAATCTTTCTCTATCAAATTCGGGTTGCACTTTGGCATGACGTCACTGCCATGCGCCAAACAAACAACTAATCTACAAAGTGTTGCAAAGCGTTGCAAAGCAACGTAGTGATGCCTAGTGGACCTGTAGACAACAACACCATGCCGTTCCACGGAGAATGAAAGTGACGTACAACAACAATAACAATGCTCTTTGAATGAAATATCATAGACCGGCCACAGTGGGATATATAATGATTCATCTTACCTGCTTGGACTTAAGATGTGCATAATCTTTTTTATGCCACGATGGGACGTCATGTTCGATGTATTCGCGGATCTTGCAACTACTTTCCTGTTGCATAGTTTGCAAGTCGGCTTTATGGATCCATCTGGTTGTTTTGGGTAGCTAAAAAACTCCCAAACAAATGAGCGGAGTCGCTTGGCCGGAGGATAAAGCGGTGGTGAAGTAGGGGAAACCGGGTCAACCGGGCCCGTGGGTAAATCTGCCTTTGGTTCGGAGTCTG